TCACCGAATCACCATCGTGTTCCACCTACCGGCTTCACCACCTACTACCGCTTTGCTCTGCACTCGGTGCTTCTTCTACTACTAATAATACTATCACGGCTTTCGAGCCGGTCTTTTGCTTCCCACTTGCTACTATTCCCCCCCTGGCTGTCCTCTCGATCATCGCGACACGTTTGATGCATTGTGCACCGATCGATATCGCGACGAATCTAGGCGTTTCTTTCACAGACGAACTCAACGTTTTGGAACTACGAGCATCAAGATGGCATAGAGAAGAGATGGGTTGGTGAAGTTTCTGTTTCTACATGGAACGCGTGAAAACGGGACGACACGATAATTCGAGATCGAATTTGGCGATTAGGGTCGATTACCCAGCACATCGGTGGCGGTGGAAAGGGTCTGCGAGTGGAATGCGGTCGACGCACGGTCCTGCCGTGGGAGACAACCCAACAACCAGCGGCCTACTGTTAGCATCAACGCGTTGTTACGTTCGCGACTCGTTAATTTAATGCCTACGAACACCGACGCTGTATTTTCCAGCTTCTTCTTGCAACAGAGACTATGGAACGTTGCAATTTCAAATTTAACATTACGAAAACGCGAGTTAATATTATCAAGATGGCGACAAATTTCATGCAGTCCTACGCGTGCAGATATAGGCACTTTTACGTTTTACCCTCTCATTTTCTGACTTTCTCATTTCTGGATAATAACAATTAATCTTTGTATATTGAAAAAGACCAAAATCAGGAATAGAAATATTTATATTAAATAAATTACGCCCGTTCGATTTATATTTATTTCAATCAAAAATTCACCCACCCTGAAGCAGATCAGAAAATACAACGTGACGAATGATTCGACAATTCAGTTAATTCGCGAACGAACGTTGCTAGAAGGATTCTCTTATTTCTACGAACTTTGTCCCCGGAGTCGGCCTGAATGTATAACTTCTTTCTTTCCCGCGTCCATCATCGGCGAACTAAACCGAGACAAAAAATCTGGGCAAACAGCGTGAATAAAACGGCCCCCAGGGGTGAAGAGCAAAAGTTATTCGAAGACGTTTCTTTCTCGATCGTACCTTTTCCCTGCGCGTTACTTCACCCTACGGCCTACGGGAACGCATTCCAGCACGATCGCTCGTAGAAGGCTCGCGACGACGGTCTCGAGCCGTCAATCGGTTTCCTCGAGTGTCGTGGAAGTACGCCACGAGTATCATCGTGCGAACACCGCGTGGAATACCAAACGCGTACGTAGCCAAAGAATGCCAAGAAGCATCGGTTGGCTACGGTTGGTTAGATCGGTCGAGTCCTCCTGTCGGATCGCGACGTCTCACATTATTATCCCGCGACAGATCGAACGGTTCACGTTGCTCGACTCGTATGGTCGCAGGACCAACACCATCGAACATAATTCAACCGAATGCTTTGTAAATTTTATTCCCTTCAACAATTACCTCCCGCGTTCTAATGATTCACCGAGGGTATAGACGATGAAAGTGGTCACAAATTAAATGAAATTCAAAACCGATCAGCCATTCGATATATGTAAATAAAAACCAAATTGTGCCTAGTTCCAACACGATTTACCATTAAGCATTTGTTTAAGCGAATTCACTGTCTTTATGATGGCAACCAATATTTTTAGATTTTAAATTATAAGAAGATAATTTGTTACGAACTGTTACCATCGACCTAGACTATTAATTCGGAAGTTTATTGTCAACAATTGCAACGAATGAACAAATGCTTAACAGTAAATCGTTTATATTTTGTCGATAAAACAGAAGTGTTACCACAAATCTAGACTATTAATTCGAAAGTTTATTGTCAACAATTGCAACGAATGAACAAATGCTTAACAGTAAATTTATGTTTTGTCGATAAAAAAGGAAGTGTTATTTTAGGACAATGTGAGCCTTATGGTTTCAAATAAAACTAAGTACTCAAATTGGGATATTACAGAGCGTCCTCCATACTTTCTCGATTTTCCAAATTATTACCTTTTCGGATCGTTGCAAAATTATCTAAACGAAAACTGACGAAGAAGTTGAAGCTAGATTCCAAGAACATTTCTTATTAAATCGCCAAAATTTTACGAAGATGGTATAAAAAAAGAACGGTGAGAATAAATAATAGAGACGAACGATAATTATGTTACTGACTAAATAAATCATTTTTTATGAAAATAGTACAGTCGAATTTATTTAGTATATAAACACACGAACTTCTCGTTTTACTCAATAGTTTCATATAATTTTTTGGCATAAATCATTTAATATTGAGACTATCGACAATTATGGTGTATTCATTTGTACCACAGAAATTAAAACGATATATACTTGACGAAATGTATAATGTAATGGAAATAAATATATGTTCATTCTCTTTCAGAAAACCACGATAAATTTGCAAAAATCCAGTCATGTAAAAACAATTTTTATCAGAAATTACGAATCATTTTTACCACTTCTGAGTTATACAAATGGAAAATTAATAGCTTTGGTTACCAAATGAGCGTAAAAATATTAAAGACCAACATAAAGGTGAACCAATGGATCCTGTATGGCTCGATTCGCTGGGTGATTTGATTCGTCGCTACAGGAAATAAAGGTACGGTCCCAAACGATTCTTTCAACGTCCATTATTCGATAGCAGTAAACGAGCGGTCTCCATTTTGCGATCGCTGCGAGACCGATTTCAAGTAGCAGCAACGTTTCCGTCGATCAAGGTAGCAAGACGAGGAGTCACCGTTTCAAGGCTACGAATACCGATGCCGCCATTATAATATGATAATTCATCGATAATCCCGATGAATAATGGAGGACGGTTGGCGTTGTGTGCGTTATGTCATTGTCAATCTCGAAGCGTTACGATACACGAAAGAGGGCCCGCTTCATAATGGATTAGCTCCGATTCAAGTTCCGCGTGCGCAGCCGTTTCCTCGTTTTATCAAATCGTCCCGAATCGGGCTTCCCATCGACGGAACGTTGCAAAAGGATTCGAAAAAAGGGAACGTAACGTTCAATTTTCTCGATTACAACGCGAATTCACGATACTGTCCAATGGGAACGTAACAAAGAGACGCAGAAAGATCCCAAAGAGAAACATCGTAGACCCAGCGCCAGGCGTTCGAATTCGTAGCGAACAATAGTTTGTTACGAAGATCGATCATCGATATTCGCGATCGTTAGTACGGGTCACTGCATTCGGGTCGAAGGAAGTTGCAAAAGAATCGGCGTAATCGCAGTAGTTCTCAAACGCCTTCGATCGGTCACCTGTTGTTCGTGGGATTTTTCTTTCGCAACGCGACGATTTCAGAAGCGCTCGAAAAATCCACGAAAACGCAGGAAAAATCACGATGTAGCACGTGCCGTGATATCTAGATCCGAGAATAAAACGGAAAGCGAGACCTTGGCACGGATTTTCCGAGCAGTAATAGCAACCAGCAGCTACCGTTCCGTTTTTACGAGACGACCGCCGATCGTCTGGCGTTCCTCGAACAATAATAAAGCGGTACACTCCTCGTCCTGACTCTGACGCAGACGTATAGATCGATAGCATGCTCCGTTAAGGGGGGACTCTCGTCGTCTAACAGCGTTAAAGTCAAAGTTTCCCTCTTAATCCTTTTCGTAAAAAATTGAACCTTCTATTGTACCTGACTTTTAGGAGAGAGACTCTTAAACTATACGAAAATATTTTTTTATTATCTTTTATTAAATAGTAGTAAATGCTAGTACAATGCTGAATTATCTTTCCAGCTTTTTTTTTATATCAAAAAAATTGCAAATCTTTGGACCGAAAAACAAAAGTTTGTCTCCAAAATGCTGTAGCTTTTAAAATTTTCCATATTTTTCGTTCAAAATGGGTTCAGTACCAATGGAAAACAACCCGGCGTTTTTTATACCAAAAGAATTGCAATTTTTTATATAAAAAAAATGTTTTCTTCAAAACGCTACAGTTTGTTTAATTTCCCGTATTTTTTGTTTAAAACGGATTCATTTCCAGTGGAATCCAACGAGCTTTAAGAAAACTTTTACGCCGTTCGCCAACTATGGCTGGATCGTCGGATAGGATTAAAAGACTTAACTAGTGTTTAACAAAAGATAATAAAAAATGGACTAAAAAAATATTTTCGTATAGATCAAAACCGTATAATATTCTGCAAAAGTAAAATTTTGATTTTAACTCAAATTTGTTTCACTACTTATTTTTGTAACCTTGTTAGAACTCAAAAATTCTATCCAAAATTATTTTCCTCAACATCTTAAGTTGAGAATGAATATTTCTAGTATCACAGTGGTAAGTCCTGTCACCCATCTTTGTATGTCGTGGCAGTCAATGTGTTAAGAGTCTCTCTAGTACAATAGAACTTTAAATTCTCTACGAAAAAAAAATCAAAAAGAGAACTTTAATTCGAACGCTGGTAACTCGAATCAAAGTTTCCATCTTTGATCTCGTTTTTTCACGGATAATTCTGAAAATGCGCATGCGCGATCGGTTGGCAACATCTCCGCGATCCGCTGTACCGGCTGGCCATTGGTCGGTTCGCGGTGGAACGGCTAATCAAAGCGCAAGAAGGAGAAAGTGGTATCGAGGAAAAGTAGCCGGCGATTTATCGAGCGTGTCCTGGCAGAGAAAAGCGAACCTACGCACGATCAACTGTTCCGTGCTCCTTTATGCTCGTGTACGCGTACCATTCATGTGCATAGATATATATATATATATACATATATATCTATATATATGGATATATATGCATACGCGTGTACGTAGAGCGTCCATAGCCTCTCAGCGTGGGACCAAAGCGACTCAAAAAGTCGCACGGCGCGCAGCGGCTCTCAGACAACGAGCGTAGCTTCAATGCGCTCAACGAGCAAGCGAGGCGAACGAGCAAAGAGAATAAGATGAAACGGCTTCCACGAAATCCTGAATGCACCTTTCAACCGAGCCCGAGCTCGCGTTCGCGGTCGCGCGCGCGAGCATGCGTCGACCGTTTGAAAGAATTTGCCTCTCCGGGGTCTTCTATCTTCGATCCATCGAACTCGAGCGTCGACCGAGCGAAACCGGCTCCGCGAACTCCTCGATTCTCTTTCCCGTGCCGCAACGGGAAGAGAGGCTCGAGGAGCTTCACGGGGTGTCTCCCGGTTCCTCTAGATATCGGTAAGGTCGACACGCGGGTCTCGCTAGACGAGTTTCGCGGGCACAATAGATGGTTTCAGTCCGTTGTTACACCGGTGCGATCCGCTATAACGAGACCAGCAGCTGGAGCCTCGCCGCCGCTCCCCGCGTTCGTTCGGATGAGAGAAGAGGAAGAAGAAAGAAAAAAAAAACGCACGAGCAGAAGAAAGGAGAAAAACAAAACGGAAGGAGAGGGAAAGACGGAGGAGCAAAAAGGAGGACGGATAGAGCAGGAGATTCGAGGTTTCCAGCTCCCGTTCTAATCGCGGCGAAGAAAGAAGGACCGGGGGCCCTGAAAAAAAGGGGGCTCGGGATGGGCACGTGTCTCAAGCAGGACATCTGCTTCTGAAAAGGACCCACTGTTACGACCCCATTATATCGTTTACCTTAGCAGCGAACCGCATCCCTTCCTTCCACGCTCCTCGTCTTCCTTCCCCCTCCTTCGTGAACACCGTCTAAGACGAGCAGCTGCCCTTTTCCCTTGCAAACCGGACTACGCACCTGCCCTTCGAGTTAAGAGGGTGACCGTTAACCAGCTTCGTGGTAACCAACGTTCCGCGGGATCTATCGTCGATTTCCAGCAAGAGGAGAGGAGTGATATCGAGATTTGACGAGGAGGCCAGAGCCCCGCGCCGGAAGCGGAGTCGCGTATGATCGATGCGCGGTCGCGTTTCGGCGGTCTGAAACTGCGATCGCGCGCGCACGCCCGACCGTTTTAAATCGAAGAACCGCGCGCAGGAGAGAGCATCTCGGAAACGGCGAATCGGTCGCCGCGAGGGGTTGGTCAGCGGGATCGTAGGTGACGGAATGTAACGAGCGTCGCGGCGCTTCTATTTCTGGGGCGGCGGACGTCGACCCGCAGACGGCTCCCAGACTACACGCTAATAACCGCGCGAGAGGACCTCGGAGAGAGAAACGAACGCGAGCCACGGGTCTCTCGCTCGGTAAACACGTGCCCGGATCTTTCCGCGTCCAAGCTTCGCGAGAACTGGGTCGGGCCGGCCCGTCCGACCACGATCCCCCCCGGTTTTCACTGCACCGGTCAAATAGATGCAGAGTGATACTAAAATATACCGGCGGCGAGCTTGGACGCGGTTAGGATAGAGTCTCGAGTAGGCATACCGTGTCGTATCTTGCTTCTGGCACGCATGTGCTCGGCGCAGAAACGCAAAATGTCTCACCCGTGCAAGCTCGAGTCGCGGGAACCAGAACCAGAAACCAGAAACCAGAGGAACTCCGCTCCCGATCGGTGGCGGTGGCTCGAACGTCGTCGGTGAGATATCCCGATCGATCTGCAACAACAAGTAAAAAATACGATCGATGTAGCCGTGCGTGTGCATGGTCGCACATGCGATCGCGAACCGTTCCAGGTAAAAATCGATTCGAAGGAGGGGACGCCGATGAAGGGAAGCTTTAAAAGGGGCGGCACTGTCTCGCCGTCATTGGGATTCTAACCGAGCTCGTCCGCTTTTAAATGAACGACCCCTCTCGTGCAACGAAATCGCCTGCGTACGCGCGTGCATTATACGAACGTACGAATACCTTCTAGGTACGAAAGGAAGCGAACTTCCTTCCTACGTTCGATGTCACGCGCGCTCGCCGTTTATATAATCCATTCTGTGACGTCAGGTTTAATCCATTCATTACTGAACCAACTCTCGCTCCGTCTCTCTCTCTCTCTCTCTCTCTCTCTCTCTCTCTCTCTCTCACGCTTCCTCCGATCGGTTTCTCGAGTTTCGCAAAGTTCGGCGAGCCGCGCGTAGGCACACCGCGCGAGGATTTAAAGAGACTCGACGCAAAAGGACAAGAAAGCAGAAACTCCGTCGAGGCGAGCGATAGCGCGGCGACATTCGCTCCGCGATAGAAAAAACGGGAACGTTGACGGAACAGCGATTGGTTCTGCGTGGCGATATCTTCGCGCGTCCCGAACGGACAAAAGTTTTCCCGTCGCCAGCGAGTTCTGACGTAAACGCGGTCTCCGCCAGTCGATAAGAATTCTGACGCCACCATTCAGCCTAGAACGAGGGAAAGAGGAAGCCTAGCGCGAAGAGGAGAGAGGGGGGATCGCGCACCAGAATCGAATACCGATACGAGAAGTCACGATTACGAAATCGAAACGCGAACGACGAATCGGGCCTGGCGGAATTCAGCCCGCGACCGCCAGATAAACCAAATTCCAGCTCTTTTGTTTCCCGCGATGGGATCGTGCACACGTATCGTACCGTATCGACGTAACGTGCGTACCGCTAATCGCAAAGTACACACCGTGCACGAAAGATATCGAATAGAATCGCCTTCCCTGTTGTACTCTGGCTGCGAACGGTACAACCTGTATAAATAGACGTGGCCGCAAAAGTGTCACGAGTGTACCAACCGTATATATACGCGAACGCAGGAATGATTTCATTCCGCCGGGTTCGGATCGGGGTTCGCTGTCGCTGAATCTGAAAAGACCTGTTGCGCGTGCTGCTTTTCGTCGCTTCCTTTCACGGACGACGATGCACGGGCATGCCGAGAGCCACGACGACAATTTCCTACGAATGCACATATATGTACGCGCGCACGCTACAGGCATTTACGCAATCGAGGCATTCATGCTCCGTGCAGGTGGCGCTATGACGCAAACCTTTTATCAGTTATATTCGCGTTCTGGCCGATATTCGAGCGGTCGGTGTTAACGGTGAAAATAACACGCCTACGTTACCAATATCGCGAACAGCATCTTTTTCGCTCTTCGAGAAACACGATCGAATTCGACGAACTTGAAAACGGCGTTTCGACTCTCTATTTCTCTTTCTTCGATGACACATTTGTGCATAAAAAAAAGTGAAAAACGTCGAACCGCGACCGCGTGACTTTGCAGGCCAATTTTAGGTTACGGTTTTATCTTGGAAGCAACGTGGCCCCTGTCTCGACTGTCTGAGACGCAGCAGGAGAGGAGAAGTGACGTCAGAGGCGGAAACGGAACACGCATGCGCGAACGCGAAGGATCCGACGAGACGAGTGCGTGACCCAGTTACGATACGGCCAAAAACGAGAAGCTTCGCGGATCGTCCGATCGTTCGTTGCTTCGTCAGCTTATTTTCGAATGCTCCCGACGAGACACCGCTCGTTGTCCCAATTCCCTCTGCTAACTCTCTCGATCGAGGGGAGCCGAAAGGACGTTCGATGGTCGTGCCAATAATTACCCGCGATTAATCGCGCGCAGACGATTGCAGGATATTGTAAAATCAATAATTAATGTATCGCGTCGAACGGGATTTTCACACGTTCGAACTAACGGGGCTGGGTATCCTTTGTTGGCGATAAACGAGAGAATTGAGTATCTAGTTAACGTTTCAGCGAGCACTCGTAAAGTATTTACCCACGAATGTTACGCTATCGAGGAGGCCGGAGTTCGTTAACCCTTCTTAAATCGTGCGCGCGGCTCTCGCATATTTTTTACCGAACGATCGCCGCGCGTACGCGACAAAATAACAGATAAAACAGATTATACGCGGGGATCGAACGAGGGTAGACAAATAACTTGTCAACGTTCGTGTTTACCCTCGAACCTTGAACGGGTGACCATTGTTGCGGTGAACGTGTGGGAAAAAGTATTTACTACGAAGAGAACGAAGAGTCTGCAGTTCATTCATGGCGAGTCTCTGAATGGCGAGAGAAAGAGGGAACGATCTATGCACAGGACGTGGTATGCAGAGATACGCACACAGCCAAAGATACACGCGCACGCTGCAACGGCATAAATAAATACCGATGCTCCCCGTGCAACCATCGACGTAAGACAGACGATTATACGTCGTTCGCGCAAACGTAGTTTTAAATAATAAACTTCGATCGAATTGCAGGTGTTCCATTTCGAATACAGACGAAATCTACGTTATCGATCGTTAATCGAGCTTGTTGAACGAATATTGTTGTTCGCGATTCAGAGTTTCGGTCGTATCGATCGACGACGCGGAGCCAACCGCGAGCCATTTCGCTGCGTCGAATCGCAGTACGCAATACCGGCGATAAAAGAAGAAAATGAAAGACCGACGGAAGTCGGCTGGCACCGGTGCACGTCGGTGCATCGAACGTACGATTGGGAAGAGCCTGTACGCCGTATACCCATTATATAACCCGGCCCATATGCAAAGTACCCACACACTCGATACTACCGCTTAGATAAAGGATGTCTGTAAAAAGCCCACAGTGATGGCGCATTGTGAAGTGACCCGGCGGCTATAAAAAGCGCCGCTAAAGCGCTCGTAAAATGCGGCAAAAACTCGCCAACTAAAGCACGAACCGGAGAAGACGAAGACGTATCTACGTCTGGTCGGCGGCTACCGTCGTCAATTTCTCAGTCTTTCGTTCGTTCTCGGACCCTTTCGCCGTTTCATTTTATATTTCGTGGCTCGATGTTCGCGAAAGCGTCCGTTTCACGACGATCGAGACAACGAAATATGTGACATAACGCGACCGAGGCTGGTTTCTGTTTCAACGGCTCCGAACTGAGAACCACTGAGCCTCCAAGGAGTTCCCACGCTGCCTCGCGTCACACACTATAGCTATGTCGCGTTTAGATACGTCCCCGACGCTCGGTGTTGCTGGTCCAAGCAATAGGACTTCGTTGATTGGCTGATCTGAGAACCGATTACGAGAGAACAAACACGCTACTTCGCGTACAGGGCTATCGAGCTCTACACGCGTTCATGTTGAGCCACCGTGCGGCTAATCGCAATATCGCTGATTCCCCCGATCTTATTCGTAAATCTTCAATGCCCGAGCGATTGTTCTTTCGTCGATAATCGAAACGGTTTTCCCTGTCGAGGGACAAGATAGCGAATATTTATGTACTCTTAGCTCCGTTTTCGAGGCATTCTGAACACCTCGAACGCGTCTCGACCATATTTTTCCATTCTTATCGCGCGTTGGGCACACCAGGTACATCCATATGGAATTGGGCCTAACGCTCGACTGGGTAAAAGATTCGGTGCTTCTCTATCGCAATTAAGGCATTCTTTTCGAACTACGACACGTGGACATTTATACCCGCTGGTACCGCGTTCTTTAGCCTCGTGCTATCTGAACAGCGATACCGTGTCGCTACGACCGTCGCGACCCCGTTCCGAAAGGTAATTACAATCTCTAAGAAACTTTCCACCGTCGCAGCGGCAACGACGACGTTAGGTCTAGGTTAGAGTAGCTTTCAACAATTTTTTATACCTCTTGGATAACAACAGCGAAAAGATCATTTAATAAATGTAAGGAAGTTGACTTCCTCGAGACTAGTTTTTAAAGGCTCCTGCGCGCGCATGGGGGGAAGAGGAAGTCAGGTTTTCGGAAACACGTGCGATTGCTGTGAAAAGTGTAAAAGTGAGACGATCGAGAATAAACATCGAATGTAAGATTCTTTCGCAGAGAAGCTCTTCGCGTTGTTCTTGACTGGCCCCTTTTGGTATTCCCCATAATTGGAAAATTATAATATTATAAAATTATAATATTATAAAATTATAAAATTATAAAATTATAAAATTATAAAGTTATAAAATTATAACATTATATAAATAAAAAAAAATTTGTCTTTCTCATCAATGGATGTGGGAACAGTGAATCACTCGAGCAGAAAATTCTTTCTACATGCGAATAGAAGGAACTAGAAGAAAGAAAGAGGGATGTAAGGCAGAGAAGAGGAAGGGAGAAATATTCCCCGCGTGTGTGTGTGTGCGCGCGAGCTCGGCTGAGCAGCCAAAGTTGAACGAACCCACGCGCGGACCGAACCTTGCTAATTTTTTAAAGACCCACACCGTCGATCCGGTGTTGCTGCCATAGAGAGTATCAGCGGAGCAACGAGCGACCTACTATATAAATTATTCGTCGTTTCAAGGCTTTCTTTTCCTTCTCTCTTCATGCTTCGTAGGAACGAACGATCTCATTCATTTTTTGACGTGACATTAGTTTTGCGAGAGGCACGATCAAATTATGAAAGCTCAGACGCGTGTATGTGTATATGAAGGAATAAACCGGTGGGGTACTTGCGAGAGAAGTAAAAGTCGAACGTGTCCCTCTGTTGGCGAGTGCGGGGAGTAGTGTCGCCGCAACGAACTTGACGAAGATAACGGGCGCCAGGCGAGCGATATTCCACGCGTTTTGTGTAACGAGAAAATATTTGTACAGCTAACGATACGAATATTTGAGCAGCAATTAATGATCGTCTTTCGAGTATCGCCGAGAAGTACAACGTTCAACCGAGCGCGAGGATGGCATTCGACGCGGATGGTACCCTGGATCAAAGATCCACCGTCGATCC